TGTCCTTTCTGAGAATCAAGAGGCAGAAATGCAGGCAGACCCAGCCCAATACCATGGCTGCTTGGCTTGTCCAGAGTGCACAAGGGGACAGGCGTTCTGAGCAGGAAAAGTACAGTATCTCATTAAAGGACTAGTTATTCTGCCTGCCTGTTTGTTAGAGTAGCAGTAAAATCCCATTATGAAAATAAACAAAAAGTTTCCTTCTGGTCAAGAGAATAGAATCTCTGGCCTGAGAGACTTGACATTCCAGTTGGGCCAGGTCAGTCACATGGCCAAGCGAACACCCCTAGGAACAGAGTTCACCGTAAGTCATGCTGAAGAGTCCTTTAATGAGATAATGTGCTTTTCCTTCCCAGAATCCCCACCACTAGTGCAGTAGCTTACTGTACCACAGCCTGGCGCTTCCTAAATCTGCCTGATTTTTTTTTTTTTTTAATTACTCAGAAAAGTGTAACTTCTTTCTTCTTTCTGTCTCTTTTCTAAGCATTCTTTCCCTGTCACCTTGAGCTTCCCTAACATTTTGGAAATCCTCATTCTTTCTCTAAAGTACACATTCCCTGCAATGTGGCTACTTGTTGGCCATGTGTCTGGCCTCAGTGCTAGCATAAATTGATAGAATCATAAATCAAAGCCCCCCAGATTAAAGTAAAACTAAGTTTCCCAAGCTATATTCTGGGAAACTGTACAAGGAAGCAAAAGAAAAATAATTCTAACTGTAGAAAAGAAAAGATGACCTGACCTCTTCATGCTCTTTTGATCAAGCTGGAAAAATACCTGAAAAATCCCCCTCCCATTTCTGCTGTAACCAAGCTCCTATTGTGACCTAAATACCAGCCCCCTTACTGCTTGTGGTTTGTGGTTTCTGTCTATATAACCCAGCTTCTAAACTGAATCTTCACTTCCCCTTTTGATTAAGGTGGAGGTCCGTCTAGACGACTATTAAATCCTCTTGGAATTGCATCTTCTGGTTTGAGGACTGAGTTATTGGGGTGTGGCCTCTCGAGAACATAGGGTACCCCAGTCTGGGGGTCCTACAAAATGACATGGCTTTTGCCCTTTCTCTCTGCCTTTCTCCTCCTCTGGATAGCTGCTGAGATTTATAGTTTCCCTGCCCTGCAGATTTTTCTTTTAACTCTAGTAAAACTGCTCAAAATTAGGCTTGAATCCATTCTTGAATTTTTTTATTAATGAGAATAAGAACCCCAAGAGAGGACCTTGATTTCCCTGTATCACCATTAGCATGGTTTAAAGACCCTGTCTTCCTAGGGGTGGTCCCAGCTGCCTAAAGAGTAATTGACCTGGCCCAACTGGAAATGTTCGGACTCCACCCAGGCCAGAGTTTTTGTCCTCCCGAAAGAAGTTGTTTTTTCTTAATGGGCGTCCATTGCTACTCTAACAAATTAGTAACGTACATGTGTATGCACGTATGGCACTTTTAACTTGTTGTTACGGAATATTTCAAATACAGAAGTCAAGAGAAGAGTGCAGTGAATCCCAATGTTTCCATTAAGCACTTGGTGACTCCACTGGTCTGTTAGTAGACGGCAGGCACTTTTCAACAGCTTTCAGCCAGTTACGTTTCATCTATGTAACACTTCTTTATTCCTCTCCCACACTACAGTGGGGAAAAGGCAATTCGAAGCAAATCCTAGATACTACACTTCATGTGTAGATATTTCAACTCTGTCCCAGCCGTGTTGAACTAGCTGCCCTTCTGTGTGCTCACAGCTTTGCTTACTCGTGGCTTCTGTTTATTATCTATGCTCTTTGTTCTGGTTAAGTCTTTCCTACCAAGTACTATGTATTTTTCAAATTCAGAAAAGAGGTTCGGCTTCTAGGTTCAGCCCATTGCAGTGTTCCTTTGATCATAAGCTGACCGAGTTGTGGCACACTGACCACTCTTGTGTCAGGAGCACTTCCTTGGCTGGGCAGGGCGGCATAATGACAGTTAGTTGACTGGAGGATGCGTTATTGAAGTAATAGTTATTTGGCAGTTAGTAGACTGAACTTCTATACTAGTAAACTGTAGAAATTGAATGCTAGGAAGGATACCAATTGTGAGGCAAAAAGCCTACCATCGGACTAGAAATAGAAAAAGGTCCAGCCACTTTTAACTACAAATAAACCATTAGTTTGACCTGATTCATCCGGAGTACTCTTCTTGGATGCCTCTAAGAATTAAGAGAAATGACTTCTTAAGATACTTTTGTTTAGAACATGATACAAGAGTAATAGTGTACTAGACTGAAAGTCAACACTGACATTTAATTACTGTGTTCATCATGGACTCTGTACATTAGATGAACTAATAAGCAATTTTAATCTCTCCACTTTCAAATGACATTAAAACATATATTTTCACACATATAAGAAATGGAGATTATAGAAATAAAATTACATTGAACCTTTAAGAAAAGATGAAAATCTATAGAATGCTTGCTACATAAAGAATTATAAAAGTATAAAGTGAATAATGAATTTAAGTTTTTGTTTCTATAAAAATTTACACTTTCCTTTTTTTAATCATCATCTACTCAAACATTTTTTCCCACATTTTAATGTGTTTGTCATATGTATATACCACTTAGAATAGTGTGTGGACCATGGTAAGAACTATGTAAATGTTAACTGTTATCTACATCAGTATAAAAAAGAATTAGTCAAAAGTCCATAGATTCGTAAATACTTAAAAATTGACCTTCCTTCAACCCAGTGTACTCCCTACTAAAATATACATAAGTAGCAAATTATATAGGAATATGAGCAAAAAAAATTGAGGGGCTCTGGCAATTGATAATGTATGTAGAGGAGGAGGAGGGGGAGGAGGAGAAGGAGGAAGAGGTAAGAAAGATGAAGAGAGAAAGTTTATTTTCAGAGGTTTTGATCTAGTAGATTGACAGAAGGAAATTAATAATGCAAAAAAATCTTGTTTTCAATTAATCCTGATTTTCAGCCAGGCAAGAGAGTCAGTGAAAGTATAGCAAAATACAACACAAATTTTCACTTCGTCCATCATTTGATTGCTATCAAATTATTCAAAGTGATATGTACTGAGAAATAGCCATACCCATAGCAGAGGACTAGGATGATGTCTGGCAAAATTCTGGTCCATTCGATCAGGATGATTATCTGTGGACCGTGGAGCTATGAAAATATTTCTTTTGCATTTGATTTCCTTATTTCTAAGAAAATATGCATATGTTATACTGGTTGAGTATATATTTCTTTTATATTAATATGTGTTATCAAAGGAATTATTTATATTCACTGCAAGAAAGCCTATAAACAACTGCTGCTTTTAATTTACCAAATGCGAAAACAAAACCAAAAAAATAAAAAACAATCTGTCAGTCAGTAAAGTGCCTGCCATGCCAACATGATGATCTGAGCTTGATTCCAGAATTCACAGAAAAACCTACTAGGCCTACAACTCTAGAGATGGTCGGGAGGGGAGCTCACTGGACAGGCAGCTAACCAATAGGTGGGCCTCAGGTTCAGAGAGCTGATGTCTCAGCCTAGTAAAGGCAGACGGCAATGAAGAAAAGATATTCAACATAGACCTCTGGCTGCATACGTTCATTTGTACCCTCTCGCACATACACGACACATTACATGCACATACGCACAAATAAAATGTTTTAAAGTCTATCAGCATATAGGCCATATAGATTGTTTATTTATTTTATTTTGTGTGTATGAGTGTGTTGCCTGCATGTATGTAAGTGCACCTGTGTTGTGCAATGCCTGTGGTCAGAAGAGGTGTCAGAGCCCCTGGGGATGGTTATTAACCGCCATGTGGTGCTGGGAACCGAACCTGGGTCCTCTGCAAGAGCAACCACTAGTCTTAACTCCTGAGCCATCTCTCCAACCTCAGTCCAACTGTTACTTTAAAGGCCACAACTTTTTTTTTTTTTAAAGGAGACACTACTTACTTAGAAAGCAATATGAGAAAAATATATTTTTTTTAAAAACAGCAATCAATGTGTATTTTATGAAACACAAAACAAATTAAGTCCTAATTAATTTTGCTTTCTTTGCTTGGACAAGACTGGAAATACACCAGGTCTATGAAAGGCTGAGTCAGATGGTAGTGTTGCACTGGAGAAAGGGAGAAAAGAACCTTGAGGGTCTTCCATGGGCCTTCCATCCAGTGTTGTTCTGTGCTCCGAGAACCATGCTCATTCCTTTTTAAAGACCCTCGTGGCTTGGACTCCTTCATATGTGTAGGTCTGAAAGATGTTAACAAACAAAAAAATGTGCCATTAAGATAAGCTCCTCAGTTAAGAATATGCTGATGTCACAACTCTGAATATACCTGTCCTACTCTTTTCTTCTACTTGATAGCAAAATTTTATAGAGATATGAACCGTAAAATATATTTTGGGTTGTAGTAATTATGTTTTCAGTTAAGATAGGCATCGATGGTAGTTAGGGCAATGGCTCAGCAGTTAAGAGCACTGACTCTTCTTGCAGAGGACCTGGGTTCAGTTCCCAGCACCCACATTGTGGATTAAAAAACATCTGTTAACTCCAGTTCTAGAAGATCCAATGCCCACTTGTGACCTCTACAGGTATCTCACGCACAGGTACCCTTACAAACATGTAGGCAAAGCACTCATACACATAAAATAAAATACATTTTAAAACTTATTGTTTTTATTTTATGTGTATGAATGTTATGCCTGCATGTAGGTAAGTGCACCTGTGTTGTGCAGTGCCGGCAGAGGACAGAAGAGGTTGTTGGAGCCCCTGTAACTGGAGTTACAGACAGTTGCCATGTGGGTGCTGGGATTCAAACCCAAGTCTTCTGCAAGAACAATCAATGTTCTTAACCGCTGAGCCATCTCTCCAGCCCATTTTTTAAACTTTTTAAAATAGACATTGATGGATATGGCATATATAAGCAAATTCTCAATAAACAAGCAACATATATATATATATATATATATATATTTTAATCAGTAAGATTTATAAGAAGTAACAGTTGATTTGTTAAAATTTGTTTATTTGTAATTCACCAGTGGAAAATATTGTTGCTTATAATCATGTTTGTTTTAGAATATAGTTATGAACTTCGTACAGCTTACCTGGATTAGTTCACCACCAGAAATTTCTCGGACAACAAGCAGTTCCTTTCCATTGTCTGCACGTGTGAATTTTCCAACAAGTTTATTTCCTTCAATGTTCCAGACCCCCTACGTCATAATAATAAGGCAGAACTTGTTATGATCTTACATGTGTCAAGCACTATTTTGAGTTTTACAGATCCAGTTTTTCATTTATTCTTGACAGTGACCTAACAAAACATATGAAATAATTCCATTACCTCCATTTTACAGCTATGAAGTCTGTGCAGAGCAGTTCACCCAAAGTCAGAGCAAGGATTGAGCATGTGCTATGAATGCAAGACTCTGTGTTGGGAACCATTAAGCACCCTTCCCTTGATAATCTCCATATGCTTAATTTTAAGGCAGAGGAGTGGTGGTTACCATTAATGGTAAAATGTTCAATAGTTAAATTGCCATTGTAGCAGGAAGCAAAGGCAGGCAGATCCCTGTGAGTTTGAGGCCAGCCAGGTTTATATAAGGAGTTCCAGGCCAGTCAGGGCTTAAAAAAGTGAAAAGAATAAAACAAAAACAAAATAGTCATTGCAGGGCTGAGGTGATGGATCTATCCACATAAAAAGTCAGGTGGGGTTACACCTGCCTGTAACCCCAGAGCTGTAGAGGATGCACAGGGAGGACCACTGGCATTGCTGACTGCCAGCCTAGCGCGAGGTCCAGGAAAGACCTTGTCTCAAGGGAGTAAGGGGGCAGGTGTAGACCAGGACTCTGGTGTCTTCCTCTGGCTTTTACCTGTGCATGCAGGCATGTATGCCCACATACACATGTGGATATATACCACACACACACACACACACACACACACACACACACACACACACCACAGTTGTCACTGCAAATGTATTTGACTAGAAAAACTCTGGGGGCTAAAAAAAAAAAAACTGTCCAGAAAATTGGTTGGAAAGATGAGTTCCTAAGATGTTTTTTAATCAAAAAGTACATATATTCTCAGTAACCCTTGCCATTTGACCCCTCACTCATTCCTAATTTTTTAATCAATGTTTTTTCACACAGTGTCATGGAGCCTCAGACTTACTATGTAACTAAGAATAGCCCCTCCTGACTCCACCTCCCAAGTGCTGTGATTCTAGGCACGTGCCCATCACGCCAGTTTTTATGCAGTGCTGGGCATACCTCCCAGGGCTTTGTGCTGCACTCTTACTTCAGCTACATCCCCAGCCCCTCAGTTTATTATTTAAGTACATTTATTAAATGGCTGTTAAGTTTGAGTAACAACAGGAAAAGCTTGTTGTGCTCCCAGGATGTAGAGTTGAAAACACCGACTTCAGAATTTCTTTGTGAGTAGATCTATACTTGTTGTTCTAGGAGTATTTTTCTAACTCTCATTGTTCAATCTAGATTCTTCACAGATGTGTATGACAATAAAATATAGATTTTATTATAGTATATATACTATACTGTATATAGTATATAATAGTATATATTGTGTGTAATATATAAAATGTGAATAAATTTCATTACCTTCCTCAATAAATGAAGATTTGCATTAATACACACACACACACACACACACACACACACACACACGCGCGCGCGCGCGCGCGCGCACGTGAAAAAAATTCTTACTGTGAGTTCAGTTCCATCTGCTAGACTATAATTAAAGGTGACACCAAGTTCAAAAACAATATTGACAGTTCGAAAGACGCTTGATTCTTTGACCGTGAATTTATTTCCTTCTTGTGTGATTGTCAGTTTCAGATTGTCATGAGCCGCAACCACCCTTTTCGCCTTGTTAATACCTGCGAAAGCAAAGAGATGGAAGAACATCAAATCAAAATGCCATGGGAAGTGCTTGCTTTTCTAAGTTCTGCACTGTTTTGTATATTTATTTTGAGGGTGGAGAAGAAAACCAATAGTGTCTTTACAGAACAACATCCACGTCGCTTCTAGAGAAAAGGTTCAAACACAATCAGATCAAGAAAACTGACTCAAGTTGTTTTTCCATGCTAAGAAAGTTTAAGCGAAGCCCCCAATTATAGCACCTTAGCACTGGGTAATTTTTAACAATATTAACACATTTTTGTTTCAATGTTCATCAAATTTTGGAAATGTCAAATGAAGTATTAAAAGTTATATTCACATATTTGGAAAGAAACACGTTTCAATTCTGCTTTTCATGATTACTTTTAATTCTTTTGTTCTTTGAGACTGGGTCCTTCTTGGTATGTAATCCAAGCAGGCTCCAAACTTGATACAGAACCCAGGTGAGATTTTAACTCAGAATCCTCCTGTTTCAGTCTCTCGAGTGCTAAGACTACTACTATGGCATAAACTACCATACTTGGCTTGCTTTTAATGTTTAAACTTTATAATTATATTTACCTTTTGTGACATTCCTGATTGTCCCAAGACAGAAAAAGTGATTTTTATGGTTAAATTCATTCTAATAATGACTGTACAAACTTCATAAACTTAAATTTGGAATCCTTAAACTGTGGGATATAATTAACACAGACACATAAGTTTGCCTGATTTGTAGTGTATAGGCTGTGAGAATATTTGTAGGCATTTATAAAGTAGTTAAATTACACCTCCACAAATAACATTCAAAGCTTCTTGTAGTTAGCTCTAAAGTTCTATAATGTTATATGTCAGAGAAGACAGTTACACCTAATTTACTCAAGGTGAGGTTTTTTTTTTAATGTGTACTTTCATTGCATTTATGCATTTCACACACTATAGCTCAATCATATTTTGGCCCCCTCCCCACCTGCATAACCCCATAGCCTGCCTACAGGATTTCATGCATTCAGTCATATATGTTAAGGCTCAAGGAGAGTTTTAATAAAATTATTTTCTAGTACTTTGTTATAGGATCCTTTCTTCTTTAGTTTCTGTAAGTCAATGTTTTAAGCTTTGGAAATTATCTTTACTCACTACCATTTTCTATTTTTTAGTGAACAAAAATGTCAATTTTCAATTACATAGGTATAATCAGTAGGCACACATGGAAGAAGACACATGTGGATCTTTTTAGGGGTGTTTCAAAGAACAACATTCAAGAGTCTTTCCTTTCCCTAGGGAGACACTGTCTTCTTCCTAATGCAGGAAGTTTGAATATAGTTTTCCCCGCTCTGAGCCATCACATCCGGAGCCTCACCAAATCAGGAGCCAGTCAGCCCCTTCCCACAAAGATGGGAGGAAGCAAAGAAAGAGCCATTGAAGAATGGAGTCCTTACCCATTTTTTCCATTAACTTGTCATAGTCGTTGCTCCGGTCTACTTTCCAACTGCCGTCGAATGCCATGGTCTGGCTCTGTGGACCCCTAGCAAAGCAGAGACTGGTTCCGTCCTGTCCACAGGGGAGAATTTATTCTATCTCTTATCTTGGAACCAATTTCATACCGTGATGTGGAAGTTTAAAGTTCATGAGATTACCTAGGGATTTTAAAGGCCAAGCCCCTGGAGTTTCTATTTCCACACACTGCTTAGAACTTCTGAGATCCCACTGAGTTAAAACTTGCTAAGCAGCCCTGCTCTGTCTTTACAATATGTGGGTGTTTTTATTGAAAGAATTAGAAACAATCTCCAAAGATTATTTCTACTTACAAGCGCAACATACAGACTATATAGATACTAACATAATTTGTAGCATATATCAAACAACATCTGAGAAATGAGACCCAGTGACATCCCTTTACTACAACAGCAGTTGCCTTATGAAGTGAGACTGTGCCGAATGCAATTGAAAAGTTAAGATTCAAATAATTATTTTAAAAAATATTTGTCTTTAGGGGCTGAAGAGATGGCTCAGCGGTTAAGAGCACTGGCTGCTCTTGCAGAGGACCTTAGTTCAGTTCCCAGCACCCAAATGGCAGCTAGCAACTGTCCCTAATTCCAGTTCCAGGGGATCTGATGCCCTCTTCTGACCTCCTTGGGCATTGCATGACATGGGTGCATGTTGGGAGCTGCTAGTCTATTATGTACATTGAGCTGTGGCAGGCTTGTTTACTGAGTTTGTGTTATGCACACTAGTACCTAATCTGCCTAATCAGGAGGAATGTGTTTATATGGAGAGCCTCACAATATCTGACCTGGAGGCAATAGTGGTAAACAAAAAGATCAAAGAAGCCTTTGAAGTATTTGACCGCTCCTTGACCCTCAGATACAGGTGGGAAAAACAGCTGTTGAAATTGAGTTGCAAATTTCTTCTGTATAAAAAGGCTGAGCTGAAATAAACCGCGCTGCAGTATCTACTGACAGTCCTCCCAAGTATCTTTTCTGTCTCTTGTTTTTTCTTTCAATCCTCACTCCCCCTTTCAGGTACTGTCCGTCTTGGCTGGCTGGCACTGGCAGGTGCACTTACATACTTGTAAGCAATACACTCATACCCATAAAATAAAAATAATAAATAAAATATTTTTAAAATTGTCTTTAAAAAAGGTATGCCATATATTTTTATTAAATCATTTGCATATAATTTTTTTCATTTTGGAAAGGCTATAGTATATTAAACATCTGGGTAACAAAAAGTTGAAAGGTAATTTTTCCATAAGCAGAGATAAGTTTTAAGTGGTCACATTGATGTATACACACACACACACACACACACACACACACACACATGCACCCATGCACATGCACATGCACACACATAAATTTGAAATAATCAGTAACAGGTTGTTAGGGTTTTACACCTTTAAGCCAGGAAAATAGTATCTCTTAAGGCCTTCAATTTCCTTTAAGGATTTTAAAAATTAACATTAGTTGAGAAGACAGCTAACCGAAACTCTGAATACAAAACCCATTTCTTTTTAAGTGATGTACTCTTAGATGCCTGTAAACACTGAATTTCAGAACATGGTGTCATTTCACAGGCTGATTACACTTCCTTTCTTTTTTGGGGGGAGGGGATTGAGACAGGGTGTCCTGTCTACTTGGAACTCACCATGTAGATCAGGCTGGCCTGAAACTCACAGGGATCCACCTGCCTCTGCCTCCCAAGTGCTGGGATTAAGGCATGCACTACCATGCCCAGCTACACTTCCTTTCTATAATGGCAAACGTGTATAACTAAAATATGTCTCAGAATAAGTTAAATATTGAGACATACAGCATGGTAATAATGTCCTTTTCTTTCTACCAAATAAATTTTACAGTTTATCTTGATCATATGTCATATGTGTTTGTAAAAGGGTGAAGACTGGGGGATGCAGTGTTACTAAAAATATGCAGCAGCCATCAAAATCATGTTCTCTAAATGGTTGGACAGAACATATTCAGATGGTTACATCAGAATCACCATTCTACAGGGATCAACATGAAAAGACCCTGAAGTTCACCTGAAACGGGCCGTGATTCTAAAGTGTGAGTTGTCTCTTGTTCTACTTCTGAGTGAAGATCCAGAAGTGACATGGATGTATCTGTAGTCACACCAATACTTTTAAAAACATATTATTTGTATTTTATGTGTATGAATGTTATTGCCTGCATGTATGTAAGTGCACCTGCGTCGTGCAATACCTGCAGAGTTGAGAAGAAGGTGTTGGATTGCCCTAGAACTGGAGTTACGGATGGTTGTTAGCCACAATGTGGATGCTGTGAATGAAACCCTGGTCCTCTGCAAGAGCAGCCAGTGCTCCTAACCACTGAGCCATCTCCCCAGCTCCATTCAAACCAGTGCTTCATAATACAGTCACAAGTTAAATATTACCAAGATAATTTTAAATTAAAGACCACTATGTTTAAGTACATGAAATATTTTCCCTCTAGCTTCTTAAATGCATGTTCCAGATCAAGAAGAATCAACAAGAAAAATGTTAGAGACCAGCCAGTGTCTTCTGAGAACTTCCTGGAGTGACATACTTGATTTCTGGGGGTGAGGGGAATTATCCACTCCCAATGGAGGGATGGTCTCTGAATGTCATTTTCCTAAACTCAAGTCCTGGTTTCAGGTTTATGAAGAAAGGGAACAGAAAATGGAATTTGGGGGACAATGTCTTGCCCATGGTGCCCATAGTTTTTCCAGGAAACATCTTCCCCACACCCTTAATATCGCAGACCTCGTGTGAACTTGTCTCCAGCACCTGTTCCCCCGGCCCCCACACATACGCACCCCAGTTAATACGCAGACCTTGAAGTCTCGCAGGAAATGTGTAAACGAATCTGGGGAATACTGCCTTGTCATGTTCGCCTTGTGTCAGTGAAAACCTCCTGGGCTGAGAAAAATTACAACAGGGAGGGAGGGTTACCCCAGTCAGCATCCCACAGGCTTCCCTTGTGCCAACCCTACTGTAGAAAACTGCAGTCAGGTACTTCTGCCTGGCTTATGAGAAATGGCACTAAACAGCCAGACTATCTTATTCTTCAGGTTATCTTATTTCTGAATTATGGCAAATGATCAACAGAGTTTGGGGGGTTGTTACTGGAGGTAGTTGGAGCTGAGGCCAGGCACTTGTGCAGACGGGGATTCTGTGTCTGTTGCAAGTGTGAGCAGATGAAAACATGGTGTTACAGCCTGCCATTTTGCACTTATGGAGCTAGAGAAGGTGTGGAGTTCTGGAGTGGGCTCTAAAGGCCCCTTTGTTACTATATTACTTTTGGCAGAGGTGACAGGTAACCCAGAGGACAGACTGGTAAGGCTGTGGTCAACCTTCTCCCTCAAGAAACAGATGAGGTACTCGTCTTCCCAATGGATGAGGTTCTGTCCTTCACATTTCCCATCATTGCTCCATAAGCACACTGCCCCCCTTGCTCACCCCATCAGAATCCCAGGAGGGATGGCTGCTGTTCTCCAACTTCATAATTGAGGTAGTGCTCACATCCAGAGTGCTGCCCTCATTAGGGGGGCCGGAGTTGTAGCTCTCCGGCCTGGCACTGTGAACGTAGGACAATGAGCAAACCAGACTGCCTATTCCAGTCATTCCTTGAAGATGACAGAGGTCTAGGATGTTCGTGGTCGGAAAGCCACATCCCAGTAGGCCTCCTCAGCCAAATCTCTCAGAAGGTAAGCTGCTGGATAGTTGTCCTCACCGCTCTCGAATGCTTCTTTGTTCAACACTCTTTTGTGGAGGCTTAGCTTTGAACTGTGTCTGTCTCTGCTCCTCCAGGGTGGGAAACTAGCACTATATCCCCGCTCTGTGCAGGTGTGTTTCTCTGGCATGCATATTCTTGGAATACATTTGCATACTGCAAGCATTTTTAAAGGTCGTCTTACAGATGTCGCACTGAAAGTGCTTTTCTTCCTTCTGCTTCATTAATGCATGCTGAACCAGGTGCTCCAGTTCTTTAGAAACTTCCAAATAAGGAAATGTCATTCCCCTGTTAGACAAAGCATTAAAGAGTCTCCTAGGCAACAGGTGTTGCTGCAGTTCCTTGTAGTCAGGAAAGGGAATCAGGTGGGGTGGGGGTGGGGGTCCAGTCCGGATATGAAATGGTGTTCACGGCCACCCTCCTCAGCCTCTCTTGATATATCATAGTGGTCAGCGTTAGTTTCTGCTCAGCCTTCCTCTGTGTATGTGTGGCCTGCAGGTTCTGCTGAGAGCTTCATGAGACTCGATCACAGCTTCACAACTCCAGGGTCTTTCTCTTGGAAGGAGAGGCTTTCCTAAGTTTCTTGACAGTGTGCGGCTCCTCAGGCACTCTCTTTGGCTGAGGACCACAGTCCTCCAGCTCATTTTCACTGACTTCCTGCAGACGGCATATCATCCTCTTTTGTGTCTCTTCTTAGCTATTTCCACAGCCTCTCTCTAGGTGTACTGGATTTCCAGGATTTCATCTACAGAAGAACATCAAATGGCATTCCTTTGAAAACCAGGTGGTCTGGGATTGAAGAGAACAGCAGCTAAGAAGGCTGAATGCCAAGTGTATCTGTCAGCTCAAGGGGAATGGCGAGACTGTGATGGAAAGAACAAGCTAGTCGGACTGTCTTTAGGTTAGGGAAAGGCACAACATTTTGCCCAACACTTGAGAAAGCATTTGGAATCCTCCACTGAGCCAGCATAGCTAGGGAGAAGGGGCCATAGTCTGGAGACATCACTCTGAAACCTGGGGTTGGTACACTGACCTTCAGGTGGACAGTGTTACAGTGGATCTTGAGGGTGCCTTGTCATAGACCGTCTTCTCACATGCGGTGCAGAACAGTTGGCCCTTCTTTGTGCTGAGGCTTACTTTGGCCTCGGGGGAGAGCTGTGTACTTTTAAGCTTCCTATAAACTGCAGTCACTTAAGTGGGCACTGTGTTCTTTTTGAGTAACAGCATCTGGACATCTTGAACACTATTCTTTCTCAACCTGAAATGGTGTGGAAGTTAAGAAGCTTTTTTCAGAGAAAAGCCCATTGATTTCCCATTCGG